CAAGTCTTTAGAACTACTGAACACTCCCGACTTTGACAATTGGATGGCTGATTTTGTCTTTTGGCTAAATGTTTCTGTGTTTCTGGAACTTCAGTTGATTTAGGTTTCTTGGAAATGCTCTCCTGTTCAATCTTCCTGTTTGCATTTCCCTGACTGAGTTCTCCACCTTTGTGTTTCGAGTGGTCTTCACCTGAATTTCTTTTGGTTTTGTGGTCCACTGACATCTGTTTTTCAAGCTTTTCAACCTGCTTCACATGTGCTTTTCCCCTGGACTGTTGTAACTTTACTCTCTTCCTGCCTTGCACAGGCTTACCTGGGAGTCTAGGCACTTCTAGATTATGAGGTTTTCCTAAGCATTTCCCCATGCCTGGCACACTGCCTCTTTCATGTAGAGATGCTTTACTATTTCCATCACTCCTGCCTACTTTCACTGTGACATCATCAGTGCTGAGTTTCCTTTTCACTTTTGCTCTGTAAGGACTAGCTTTACTATTTTCCACATGAACTGTACTTTTTTCATTGTCATTTGTTATTGTGTTACTTTTCACTTTGTCACTGTCTGTATTGTTTAACTGTGAACTTTTATCTTTTGCTTTAGCTATTTTGTTATCACTTTTACTATCAGATGCTAAACATAATTGACTTCCATTTTTCCAGCATCTTCATGAGTTTCCTTCAACTTTGTACTGTTAACATGTGAAGAGATTTTCATAGATACACTCTCTAGAGAACTACCAGTAATATGATTAAAGTCAACTCTACTAGTTATGCCGGATTTGAGTAAGTTTCTTTTCTTTTCACGTCCTTCCTCTGTCACTTGATTTCCTTCTTTAGATGACTGATCTGATTCTGGTAATGATTTTTCAGGACTGTTTAAGATACTGGTACCAGCCACTACTTTCACATCAGAACTTCCACGTGTTTTCTTTTTCACTCGGTTTCTTCTCACAGCACTTGATAATGAAAGACGATTAGCTCCTCTGCTATCACTAATGTTCCTGGTTTCTTCACAATATTTATCATCTAATGTTGGCACTGATGGATTCCTACTTTTGGCTTTCCCATTACTTTTGGCATTAGGAATAGTTCGGCTACAATTTGTTGATAGACTTCCTAAAATGTTAAATTCCGACGTATCAGGATCATCGACTTCAGTCCCAGTAGTATATTCACTGACTTGTCCATCCACCCTGAGCATCATGCCTGGTCTCAAAAAGGGTATTACTTGAATGCCCAGCTTACAAACATCTTCTGGCTGTTTCTCTAAGTGATCATGTAGTGCTTTAACACCTGAGATGATCTTTTCAGTCTGTTCATGATCTAATAAAATAGGTGCAATTTGCATGAGCCAGCCTCTGAAAGTCTCCGAGCCCCCTCCAATCATGAGGGACGTTCTCCACAAGGAATAAATGACACCATTACTAAACTGAGCCAGGGACAGGGGTTTTGCAGTGCCTTCCATAAGCTCGTCCAATGAGGTCTGTCTTAAGAAACTCTTGCTGAATCTCTGCCCTGACCCATCATCAGTTGTACTTGGCTGCTCTTGTCTACTAATGGAATCAATTATATTTTCACTTTTGCTGCCCCCTTCATTTACCTTGTCGAATTCACTATCAATTTTCTTTTTAATGTTACTTTTGCTACTGACACTTTGGGCTGAGCCTATTTTTTCCTGAGCTATAAGTTCGGGTAAATTTATAACAATGAATATTTCATCTGGGACTGTGTTACTCATTTCATTATTATCCATGTTACTTGAATATTTGGAAAGTGTAAGGAGGTAATGTGCAAGTTTACTCTGACATGGTCTTAGACCTTTGTCATACAGCTCATTTGGCATTAACTGAGTCAGCCACTTTGCCAAATCTCCTATGGCAGCTCCAATCTGCACCCTAAAGTCGTTGAGAACCAATAACATCCATATGGAGAATTCTTGCATTTCTAATGGCTGACGTTGAGGTTTGCTGACAAGGTCATCAATGCTGAAACTCTCCATTACTCGTAGGATCCTCTTCAGAAGTCTTGTCATTTCATCCTGCAATAACAAGGAGGTAATTAATTTGCTGAAGTTTTTTCTTTTCTTTTCTTTATTTCCCCTATGGATCCAGATGACATGACAATCACGTCATGAAAAAAATTTGGTTTTAGGGCGTGAGTGATGAAAATGAAGCCTTGGGAAAATCTGGCATGGGCGTGATGCAAACTTGCCACTGTGTGCATTTATGGCTGAAGGAGTGATGGAAAAGACTCCCCATAAGGGCACAAACATCTTGGAGGGTGATTACTCTTTGGCATTTAGAAATGGGCTTTTGCATTGTTCCCAACAATAAGTGTGGTATATAGTGTCTGTGAGCCATGACTTGAAAGTGCCAACTCCAAGGGAGGATGCCATTTTCATGCTCAGAATCCTATTACTGGCTGCCGTGACCAGCAGTATGGGTTATATTACAGAAAATTGAATATCATGAAAAAAATTTGAAATGACAATAAAAACAAATGT